GTCCAGACATGGCTCGGGACAGCACCAGACCAAGGTGGCTCCGATGACCCGGGACTCTAAACAGGGTCTGCAAACTACATACGGACCATGAGCCAAAATCTCATTTTTATGATCTGGCTGCCACTTATTTTTGTAAATAAAGTTTTACTGAGACACAACCATACCCCTTCATTTATGCATTTTCTGTGGCAGCTTTTGAGCTACAAGGGCAGAGGTGAGTACTTGCGACAGAGACTATATGGCCCACGGAGCCTGAAACCAGGGCAGTGCAACCCATATGGCCCCATGCTTGGGAGATGCCACAGCTTGATTTCACCATGTTGAAATTTTTAATCATTTTTTAACAAGCGCTGATTTTTGGTTTTTCTCTGGACCCCTCAACTTATGTAGCCAGTCCTGCCAGAAAGATTTACTAAATGGTCCTACAGTTTGCCCTGTTCCTCTACTTTTTGAGTCCTTGGTTCCCTTTTACTCCTCTACCTTAACGTTTCTGGACCCAGGAAGCCAGCCCCTTTCTGAAGCAGTCTACTACATCTCCGGAAAACGTCGAGGCAGTCCTTCCTGGTACCCTTACCGAGAACTATATCAGCTATCATTATCAGTGGGGCCAACTGTGACCCAGACCCTGGGTTGAGTCAAGCCAAAGTCTGCCACTTACTTACCAGCCCTTGGGACCACCCAGAATAAATCTCATCCCTTATGCCTTCAGAGATTTGAGGAAAGTTCTTCTGTCCCTCTCGCTGAGTCTTCTCTTTAGAACCCAAATTTGTTCTGTTTCTCACAAGACATGTTTCAAGCTCTTTCTTAAAGGAGCTTCCTTCCTCTATAGATATGATCTAGTTTCCCAAGACCCCTCTTCAAGCATGGAGCCCCAATAGAGCTCCAAGTGTAGTCTGACCAGTGCACAGCTGGGTAGGATAGTCACCTCCATTATTCTAGAGTGTTTATTGATGCATCCTGAGATCACTCTGTCTATTTTGGAACCCATTCCAAAAATCTCCCAATTCCCTCATGATAGGAAAAGATAGTCTGTTATGCTCATTATATAGGTGAATAAACCGAAGTTTGGAAGGGAGTGGCCTGTTCATGGGCATATAGCAGTTCTTCTGTCTCAAAATCCCAAGCTCTCCAATCCACTAACTGAGATTTTTGGGCGCTCAGTTTCTTCATCTGTAAAATGGAAAAGCTGTGTCTCTTCCACGCTCGAGCAGACTGTGATTTGTTTTCTAAATACAGACCCCAAAAGCCAAGTCATGAAGAAAATAGAAGCTCTCAGCCCAGATCTAAAACTTGTAGGAAAAACAAAAAAGCTTCCTTTCCTGCTGATCATTCTAGACTTTACCAGCCTTGGGAACATCTGCATGAGTCTTGCTTGTTAACAGTAGCCCTAGACTTGCTAGTTCACTGAGTTTTCAGTCCATGGTACCATCACTTTCTTAGTAAGTCAGCTTATGTAAGCTTTCCCTTTCCTATTACTTCCCCTGTTCACACTCCACAAATTTGACTTCCTGCACATCCCATTTTCAAAATTATTTTCTCTCTCTTTTCCCTGACAAGCCAAATAATAACAACAACAAAAATCCTTTAAAATAAGAACGCAGAGTCCTCTGTAAAACCCCAGAAACAAAATGGGCTCTGGAAAGCCACTTTCTCTCCTTAATTGCTTTCTCTTGTTAGCTGCATCACCCCAGGGTTGACTTGAAAGTTTCATCTGTCAGTACGTTCTCTTCGTAACATTTTGTCTGTGAGTACACAGCCCCTCTGGTGCCCCATTAGGTTTTCACACTGTGTGGAGGGGCACAGACTCATACGTGGGGAATACAGGCAGGTTTTACCATCCAAACTTGACAAGTAAGGGCCCCAAGACTCAGAGAGGGGGCTCAGAGCTGCTTCGCGATGGGGCCAAGAAACAACTAATGGTTCCCAGCTTAAGTGCTCTTTTCACCAGCGAGGTTTTGGGAAATACAATTGTCATAAGAAAATGAGAGATGACTCTTTCTCTGCCTCTGACATCTGGCCCTTTCTTCTCTGCCTCTCTGATTCCACTCATCCTTCTGGTCCAGCTGAAGCACACTTCCTGTGAAATCCACAATGTGTGTTAGTTGCTCCACTCCCTTGGCCCTCAGCAGTGATCACCAGCTAGGGGCAGTGACCCTTTCAGATAACAAATGAGCCTCCTTACACACACTAAGGTGCCTTAGAATGAAGCCAAGCACGTCATGAATCTCAACAAACAGTAGTTGCTATTGCCATTGGTGCTCATTGTTTCAGTGATTATGGTTGTGAAACAAGCTCCCCCAAAATCCAGTGACATGAAAAAATGATTATGATCATGAACTCTGTGGTTTAGATATTCAGACAGGACACAGAGAAGACAGTTTCTCTGTTTCATGGTGTCTGGGGCTTCAGCTGGAAGACAGGAAGATTGGGGATGACTTGAAGACTGGGGACTGGGAATATCCAAAACTTTGTTCACCCTCATGCCTGACGCTGATGTTGGCTGACAGCTGGAGCCTCAGCTCCTCTCCATGTGGTTTCCCCACATGGGCTGGTGTGGGCTTCCTCCTGGCATGGCGACTGAGGTCCAAGAGCAAGAACCCTGAGAGGAGAGAGCCAGGAAGCCAGCCAGGGAGGGAACACAGACCCTTCCTTTCGGTGGAAGGATTGTCAGTCTCGTCATCTTTGGAAAAGACGGCCTTCCATCATCATTATTACTATGACGTTATGATTACTTCCCTTTAGGATGATGAGTTCTTCCAGGTGGCTCTTCCATCCCTTGCAACAGGACTGCCATTAGTTGGTCCATCTTTCACCAGACAGATCTGGTTCTACAGTACACAAAACTTAAGCTCAGGCTTAGATCCCTGCGGCATCCCTCGTGAATACAAGCAAGAGTGTTCTTTTTGTGTTCCAATCTCTTTGCAGAATATTCACATACCTGGGACCAGGGGGACCTGGGGACCCAGGCAAGGAATGGAAAAGCAACAAAAAATGTTAACTCTTAATCCTAAGAGACTTAGGGACATTTTTCTAGTTGCCTGCCATTTATCCCTAGTAACACTGTGGGGGCTGAAAATGTACTCAGCTAAAAATCTATAGTTCCATCATTGTTTGCCAGGACAGGAGTGACCAATGAGATATAAACAGAAGTAGCTGGGTGGGACTTCTAAGAAAGCTTTCTAACAGAGCCAACTCAGTTGGCAGATGTCATTTCTTGTCCCTGCCCCTACCTGTTTCTTCTTATCCAGACTCAGAGATGATGGCTGGAGGAGCAGCAGCCATCTTGTGCCTATGAGGTAGCTTCGAAGCTAGCAGAACAAAAGGATGGGAGTCCAGATGTCTGATGACATCATGGAGCCACTATAGTATTTCTGAACAATTTGTGTTAAGTGAGAGAAAAAAGTTCCTACCTTATTCAAGCCACTATTATTTTTGCATCCTTGGTATTAGTAGCCAAATGTAATTATTGATAAAGCCTTAATCACCTCTGGTTTTCCCCCTCCTACCTCATACTTCACTCAGCTCCAATCTACCCTCCAGCAGGCCACCGGTCCTGCTTTGAAGCCTTCAATGGCTTTCCAGCAGCCCTAGATAAAATCCACATTACTTAGTATGATATTTGGGATACTGCACCCCCTAGGCCTGAGCTGAGCTGTATCTCCTGTCTCAAACCCAGACACCCTGTGCTCCAGTCACTCCACATTTTTCAACATTCTTGTCTATACTACTCTTCGATACCCATAATCCTGTAACTTGAAGTGTTCTAAGTGGTGAGCTCCTGCTTGTCATTCAATACATATCTGCAAAGTCACCTCCCACAGGAAGCCTTCCCTGATGTCCTCAAAGTCACTGACTCCTATGGACTTCTAAGACCAGTTCTTTGTAAAATATCTCTGATGTGTGGCACTTACCACACAGTATTATAATCACTTATCGTTTCAACTGGTCTCCCCCCGCCCTTGACTGGGAGCACTTCAAGGCAGAGACAGAGCCTTGCTGCTCTGTGTATCCCCGGCTATTAGCAAATCCTGAATGAAGGAGTGAATAGACAGGTACATGGAAGCACAGCCCCTGACCCCTGCGGATTCAGAGTTGCCATCCTTCACGCTGCTGGGTCCCAGGGGATGGCTGAGCTAGAAGAGGGCACAGAAAAACCGAGCAGATCTCTAAGAGAGGTGCACCCCACTCATGCATGTGGAGTGTCTGGGGCCCAAGAAAATCCTGGAAGCTGTCACTAGGGCGGGGTGAAGGGTAGCACGAACATGAGCTTCATGTTCCCCGCACCGGGCATATCCCAGTGCAGGCTCCAGACGGCAGATGAGGGGCAGTCCCACAGCAGCTTCCTCTCCCTGTTTCATCCCCAGCCTGGCCCCACACCACAGTCCATCAACTCCTGCTCCAGGTGAAAACCTCAGAAACCCACAAAGCTTAGACCTGCTCCAGGTCACCAAGCAGCAGGGCCAGGCACTGGCAATCCAACGAGAAGCCCCACGACATCACATTTCCAGCTCCTGAAGCCATTCCTAGGGTAGGAGAGCCCTAACTGTTATTATCTTGTCCCCATTTTATAGATGGGGACAGAGTGACCCAGAGAGGTGAAGTGTGCCAAAGGTCACACAGCCAGCCAGAGGCAGAGGAGGGACTAACTCCTCTTCCCTCCATGGGCAGCGCACCCCAAAGGAGCCCAAATGCTGATAGCAGTGGGGCAAATTCCAGGGGCCCCAGAGCGACAGCCAAGTTGGCCACAGCCACACAACGCATAGGAAATGCCAGGCCCTCTGCACCCTCTCTTGAGGCCCAGTGCCCCAAGGCAGCCCCCTTTAAGGAGTGATCGGCCTTCCAGAAGAGCTCCAGTCTTAATTTTAGCTTGGAGGCCTGCCACAGGAGGCTTTAGCGAGAGGCAGGCTGAAGTTATGTGGGACAGCTGTCAGCCGGCATGCTGGGTGGGGCCTATTCAGCTGGCAGGGACATAAGTCTGGGGACACTGAATTGGTCTCTCTGCCCCAAGGATTTTCAGCCCCAGCCGGCCACACGGCGCGGATCTCCTCCTGTGGATCCCCCCAGCTCCGCGATGATGGCAGAAGAGCACACAGACCTCGAGGCCCAGATCGTCAAGGATATCCACTGCAAGGAGATTGACCTGGTGAACCGAGACCCCAAAAACATTAACGAGGACATAGTCAAGGTAGGCTCCGCGGGCCTGCCTCGGCGGGCGGAGGGTGTCACGCTTGTGAGAGGTGGGCGCTTGGCAGGGGAGGGTTTCTGCTGCAGACACAGCTTGCCTGAAAAGAGACTTGTTGCTCTGTTGTCTCTGTATCACCCCACCCCACTCCACCCCGCCCCCCAAAAAAGGCTTGTAAATCGCCCAAGGACCTTTAGCAAAATCAAGAGCAAAAAAATTAGCCTCATCTCCATGACCTAAGTGCTAATCAGGGCGGGAGAAGCGAGTCACAAAGAAAATCCCTCCTTACTACTGTGACGTTCCTGCCACTCACTCCTGGCCCTCATCCTGGGAGGAATAGGAACGGGCGGCCAAGTTGGGCTCCTTTCCATGCCAGGGGGCATTTCTGCGGTCTCTCTAGTGGGTACAGGGTTAATCCCCAGAGGGCAGCTCCCAGCAGGGCCGGCAGCCCCTCGAGGTGCACTCACTCCCCCAGAGCACTGCCCAACATCTGTCCCTAAGGCTGGGGGCCATGCCCAGCCCTCCCCCAGCTCCCTCCTCACCCCAGGTCTAGTGGCCAGGACAGGGCAGAGGGCACCTGGGACCCTGGAAAGGAATGCTCAGAGTTGTCCAGCCCTCAGGGAGTCTTCCAATGTCTGAAGTTGGGCCTCTTTCCTCGCCCTTTCCTCGCCTCTTTCCTCGCCTCTTTCCTCGCCCCGGTGACACTAACAGACCTGCTGCCTCCAGGCCCACACCTTCAATCCAACTTCCACCCAGTACCCAGAGGGATCCTTCTTTTTTTCTTTTTGAGACAGTCTCGCTCTGTCCCCTAGGCTGGAGTGCAGTCACACACTCACGGCTCACTGCAGCCTCAACCTCCCAAGCTCAAGCGATTCTCCCTCCTCAGCCTCCTGAGTAGCTGGGACCACGGGCAAGTGCCACCATGCCCGGCTAATTTTTGTATTTTTAGTAGAGACCGGGTTTCATTATGTTGACCAAGCTGGTATCAAACTCTTGGGCTCAAGTGATCCTCCTGCCTCCCAAAGTGCTGGGATTACAGGCACAAGCCTCCACACCTGGCGCAGAGGGAACTTTCTAAAGCAGAATTCCTCCAAGAAGGGTCCCCGGCCACCAGCATCAGGGTCACTGGAGGGGCTGTTAAGAGGGCCAGTGTCTGGGGCCTCTCCGATTCTACTGAAAGTGCTGGAATCTCAGGCCGGGGCTGTCCAATAAGGATACTGTTACCACAAGGAATTTTAAATTTTCTAGCAGCCACATTTTAAAATGCAAAAGCGAACAGGTGAAATTAATGTTCATGATATTTCTTACTTAACCCTATATATTTAAAATAGTATTATTTCAACATATAAGCAATATAAAACAATTATCAATGAACTATTGTACAGTCTTCAAGTTTAAAATCCAGTGTGCTTCCAACACCCATAGAGTATTTCAGTTCAGACTTCACATTTTCATCCAACATGCTTGTTCTGCATTTACATTTCATAAAATGTACATGTGAAAATCAATTCACATGCCTGTACTGTTTCAAACATTCTGTAAAAATTTTTCAATAATGAAATCAGGGTTTACATTTTAATTAAAGTTAAACAAAATATAGAATTCTTCAGTTTCGCTAGCCACATTTCAAGTGTTCAAAGCTCCTGGTCACTGGATCAGACTATGTGGCTGAGGACTTGTTCTAAAGCACAGGCCTGTATTGCGGTCTTTCAGTGGGGCACCCCTCATGCTGGAGAAGCCTAGCCTGTCCATGTGGCTGTCCAAACCCAACACAATCTGGCCCCAACCTGCTTCTTCTGCCTAGTTTGCTCCCACCTGCCAGCCCACCCACCAGAGTACCTTCCTGTGCCATTGCCAGAAGTGCATGTCCCCTCTTTTCCAGGTGGTGAATGCCTCACTCAGCCTTCAAGGCCCAACTCCAATGCAACCTCCTCCAGGAAGCCTTCCCTGACTCCTCCAGGCAATTAGTTGCTCCCACTTCTGTCCCCCTGCTTCACTCAGGGCATTCCTCCACAACAGCTCTTATTACACTGGATATTATATTTCTATACATTATGAGTGATGGAGATAGAGTACATAATATAGCTCTGTGTGAAAGTTGCAATAAGGAAAATTAGGAAACAAATTTTACAAACTGTAAAGCACTGTATACATGTAAATAAAATTGCACATGTAAAATATTATTAGTTATGGTTTCCATCAGTGTGATCTAGCAGGAATAGTCCTGGATTTGACTTTAATAGACTTGACTTCAAATCCAGTCCGTTTTACCTAAAAATGATAACACTGGACAAGCCAACCAGGTTTTCTGAGCCTCAGTTTCCCCTGTAAAATAGGAATAATATAATTTACCTCCACCAGGTAAACGAATCTCAAAGCAGCACTGTACAATATAATGTGAGGATTGAATGAGATGAAGGGTTTGAAAGTGTCTAACACAGTCCCTGGCACCCAGCAAGGATGTGACAGTGTGAGTCAAAGAAGGGTCTCAAAGAGCTTGCAATCTAGAGGCAAGAGAACTAAGCCGGGAGCCTGTGTCACGCCCAGGTAACCATCTGGTACACCCTGGTGGGCTGCAGGGGGATGGGAAAGAGGACCCCACGGGGGAACATGGTTTCTAAAGGACACCCACAATGAGTGGTAAGTACAGAGGGAGCCCTGGAGGGAGCCAGCTGCAAGCCGCAGGCCTGGATTATGACACAGAGGGAGCAGCGGGGGCGGCAGCACAGATGCAGCGGCTTTACGCAGCCTTCCTGGGGCTGAGAGCTGTCGTCTCCTGGAGGCCCTGAGCCCTAGAAAAAATAGCAAAGGCTAAACAAGGGTGCCACACATAATTTTGTCCAGAGGAGGTGGTTATTTGGTATGTTTTGGACATTCTCTGCTTTAGGGATTTATTTGACTTTTTCTTTCTTTTATTTTTAGTGAGTGAGAAATGAAAAAAGTTTACTGCAGAACAAGGATCATAAACCAGACTCAGATATATATCAGATTTAGATAGATTTCAGGTCTATGTTACAGTCTGTTAAAGAATAAAGAAAAGAAAGAAGGAGAGAGGGGACTGTGGCTAGGAGGGATAAAGCCAGACTGTTCAGCTTCTCAATTGCCAGGATTTCACCATTGATGGAGGAAAAGAGAGATGGGAAGGAAAAGGGAATGAGGAAGACAGAGAGAGATGGAGAAACCGGGCAGAGGCTGAGAGGAGGGTGCAGGAGGCCCTGGCAGTGCCCCAGGTGGCAGGTGGCAGGGTGGCCTCACAGGTGGTAGCAGGTTCCTCGTGGGCTAAGATGAGTGACACAGAAAGAAGGCTGGAATAGGACCTGGCTACAGAGACTCGAGTTCTGGTCCAAGACCTGACAGTAACTTGCTGTGTGACTCTGAGGAAATCCTTTGCCCTTTCTGGGCCCAAGTCCCTGGTGCCACCAGCCACTTCTGTTTCACATTTAAAAAAGCCAAGGATGAAGAGTAGGAGATAGACATACTACATCCATGGATTTGACCCCCAGTAGAGGGGAGGCACCCCTTTTTGGCCCTGCCCTTAACCCCAGGCAGCCAAGGACAGAGGAAAAGCCCCGTACACCCCAACAGACTTCAATTGTGGTCTCCAAGGCTGGGGGCCCAGGGCAGTGTAGAAGGTCATGGAGATTGGAGATGAGGAACTGGGGGGAGCACACCCCCATTCCTGTTGCCACTTGCCTCCTCACCAACACTGATTCCACAAATCGCTACTGAATGCCTGCTCAGCACAGTCACTGTGCTATCCCAGAGGACATGGTGATGAGCAGGACAGGCTCACTGCATGCAAGCCCTCCAGGTTGCGGGGTTGGGAATGTCTGCCAAAGGTCCTCAGGGTTCTCAGCTCACCAGTGGGTACACCCAAGGATGCCTCAACCTTCAGAGCCAGGTTGGAAAGGTTCTAGCCCCAGTACAGGTATACCTCAGGACCTCAGAGCCACCCCACACTGTCCCCAAGTTATTTCTGAGAAGGCTTAGGGCCACCTCACTGACAACGCTCTCTCTCTCTCTCCTCTCTCTTCTCTCTCTTTCTTTCTCTCCTCTCTCTCTTCTCTCTCTCTCGATCTCCCTTTCTTGACTCACACATAGGCCCCCCAGGGTCCTAAAGCAGTGATGCTTGAACCTGAGAGTCATGCAGGTCCCCTAGCTTCTGTAGTCAACTCCTCCCTCTCGAGCTTCTCTCTAGTTGCCCTTCAAGCAGGGGAAGGAGATAGACAGGATCCCAGCTCCTCCATGATACTACTCCCCACCCGCCTCCACCCACATCTGCCATAGAATGCCTGCCTTCTTCAGAAAAACAAACTCCCATTTGCCCCTCGGCTCAGGCTACACAACACCCAGAGGAACCAGATGCCCACCAGCCCTACAAACTCTTGTTCCAGATTTGTGCCCATCAGGGACACCCTGTCGCACAAAGATGAAACTGACCTGGTACCTCCCCTGGAGAGGAATCCAGCCCTGGGGAGAAGATGAGATGAGAACATACAGGAGAAGGTGCTGAACACCATAAATGAGTGCCAGGTTAAGTGTCATGGGAGGTTAGGAGAGGAAGAATTACTTTCATCGGGAAAAATCAGAAGCCAGCTTTATGGAGAGGTGGTATCCATGGTGCATTATAAAAATGAGAAAAATTAAAAATGTGAAATGGAGGAACAAAGTTTTCCATGAAAAAATGGAATAAGCAATGGCTTTCCCAACACTGGGAAGAATGTTGGGCAGAGTCGGCAAATGTGAGAGACTGTCATTACCACTGCCCCTTCCAGTGTTCATGGCAGACATGACTAATGGATCACAGCACTGCTCCATGGAAGCCATGAACTATCAGCTAGTCATAGTGGGTACAACAGATAACACTTCACTGCTGCTCTGTCTGCAGGAGAATAATGAACTATCAAAGAGGATTAGGACAGAGTATCTGAAAGGGAATTTGTGGGAGAGAAGGCAGGAAGGGCAGATTGAAACTAAATAATGGAGGGTCATCCAATCTACCT